CGCCGTCCGACTCGACGTTCTCGCCCCCGTCGACCCCGTTCCCGGGCCCGGCGTACTACGCCTGGACGTTCGTGCCGCTGCGCGGGTTGCAGGACTCGACGGGCGGGACGCAGACGGCGATGAGCATCCGGTCGAGCCCGAGCCACGAGCCCGTGCAGCTCCCGCCGCCGCCGCCGATGCGGGGGAAGAGGCGCGAGCCGGCGCCGCAGGCCGGGCTGAGGGCCGCGAGGCGCATGAAGCCTCCGCCGCGGGTAGAGAGCACGCAGCCGCGGGAGACGAGCCCGGAGCCGTCGTCTGGCTCGGGCGAGGAGACGGCGGGCGAGGAGAGGTTCGTTGACCGCTATATCCAGGACGGAAGCGCGGAGGCGGGTGAGTGGGGAGGCACCGGGAACGGGTCGGGCACGTCTGGGACGGCGGTGTCGAGCGAGCAGGTGGAGGAGGACGACGGGGAGTGGGTCGACGAAGAGGAGGAGGGCGAGGAGGAGGATCTGCTGCAGCTGGAGTACCATCCGTCGTACGTCAGCAACCCGCAGAAGCGGCGCCGGCGCTGGGAGAACCGGTGGGATGCGCTCATGCAAGCGGTGAGTGTTGCGCATGTCGAGACGTTCGCGCATGCTGATGTTTGTTCGGGCAGTTCCAAGCCGTCGATCGGGAGACGGATGCGACGCTTGTGTTGCTCGCTGCGCCCTCTCACTCGACGAAGCTGCATGCGCTCACGTCGCGCTCTATCCGGCGCGACCCTGCGCTGGCCAACTCGCCCAAGCTGTCCGCGATCAAGAGCTCATTCAACTCGCTGGCTACGCAGCGGCGCACCACGCGGGCACACCGCGTCTCGCTGGTGCAGCGCCTGCAGCTGTCCTCGGCGTCGTCCGCGGCAGGGTCCCCAGGAGGCGAGGCGCGCGAGGAGGACCTGCGGCGTGCGCTGGAAGCGGCGCTGGGGAGTCTCGGGGAGATGGGCAAGATCTACGAGCAGCGCGAGGTGCGGTGGCGCGACGAGATGCGGCAGCTGACGGAGGATCGGGATCGCGTCGAGATGCTGTTGCGGCAGACGCTGGGACCGGTGCTGCATGAGAACGGGCATGGCAGGTCATGAGCCGTCTCCGTCGTCCTGAAGGTGCTCGATGTCCTTTACGACTGTATGATCTTGGAGACGTGTATTTTACGTAAAGGTGCCACGAATTCACGCGGTTTGGACGACCTGAGTTGGCGTGAACATGAACAGGAACACTCTGTACTGGGGCCTGGGTACCCCGAAGGAGAGATGCCAGGCTCTTATACGTGATGAGGGGGAACATATTAGTGCTCGATCATGTATGAAGAGAATACATGCTTGAGTTCACAGGTAAAAACGATTCTGCATCCGGAGGGGGCCGGTGGAGAGGAGAGCAGCTATGCATGGACAAATCATATCATGCTTGGTACCATGCCCTCCGGAACGACGAGCAGGGTCGAACGCAGCAAGAATCAAGACGATACGATGAGTAGTTCGAGGGATATCCGTGTTTTCAATTTGAGGTGTTTGGCCCGATTGAGTGATGACGGGAATAAGCTGCATTACGGAACCTTTCTGCGGGAGACGGTGCGAGCGGCGCAGGGGGGATGGATGTGTGCGCGGGCAGTGCAGCAGGGCAGTCTTATATATGCCAGGAGACGAGAACGAGCACGTCTGTCTGCCGTTGTGACGTCAGGCGACGATCGCGAAAGCGAAGCAAGGCGTTGCCGAATCGGGTCATCATCATACTCCAATAGGCTAGATTGCTCAAGGAAGACGTCTCAAAAGTCCGATGCTCGGTTGCCACACCGAGCGCAGGCGGGCTTACAGAGCATACAGTCGACCTCGCATACAGTCGACCTCGCGTACAGTCGACCTCGCATACAGTCGACCTCGCGCGCCGCCCTCCGCGCGTCTCCACCTCGCTGCCGTCCGCGTCTCGCTCGCTCGCCCCTTCGGCGACCGTTTGCATCAAACCAGCAGCGTCCAATCCCGCGCTCTTTCCCCCGGGATGCTCGACGTGCCTGCCGTCTGACTGCGTCTACCACTCCTCCCTCCAGGCCCGCGCCCTGCGTTCAAGACGTTCCTCATCGATGCGTCGCTTACTCCCTGTGACCGCGGGCAGTAGCCCGTCTGATATCTCGTGGTCGAAGAGCGAGCACGACCTCAAGGTGCCCAATCTGGTGCGTGTCCACGCTAGCCGCCCCACGCGCCGTGCACGCCGTGCACGCACACACACATCCCGCTCGCGACGTTCGACCTCGAGCCCCAGCGGCTCATCCTGCACGCCCCGCCCGTCTACGCCCTCGACGTCGACATGCCCGATGCGCAGATCAGCGACCGCGCGCGGACCACGTGCTGGCGCTGAAGCGACAGCGCGACTTTGACGTCGATCGCGCGCTGGTCGTCCGGTTATCCATGTGGTAGTCTGCAGGACCGCGTAACACTGTAGTGGTCGCGCGCGATCAAGCCATCCCAGTACTAGTACCCTTACGGTGTGCATAACGGAAGGGTCTGCAGTGTCTTATAGGTAAACACTCCTCTGGCGGACACATCTCACGTCGCTCATTCCGCGCTTCATCCATCCCGGTTGCCCGCCCGCTGCCCGCAAGTGCGCAGTGTCCGGCAGGCCATGCGCATCGTCACCGCGCTCGCTCTACGCGACGCCTGCACGTCATACAGCAGCGTCAGCAGGCGCATCCATGGACCGTAACCCGCCGCTCACACGTCAGGCGCGACCCGACAACCATGATGGCCGACGTCTCCAACGGGACGCTAGTGTCCATCTCATTCCAGTCACCGCTCTGCGACGACGCCATACAGTGCGTCGTCGTTCCATGTCTCATTTGTATCTACAGACTGTAACCCGCCGCTCACGCGTCGGGCACAGCAGATGGCCAACGTCTTCAACGCGACGTCGGTCCCTTACGCGGCCGCATCTGGAGAACCTACTGTCCAGCGTTCGGCTTCGTTCTGTGACCTGCGACGATCGCGCACAGTGCGCCATGGTTCCACGTCTCATTTCCAGGATCCCGCAGCGCCCTATTCGCCGACATCGAATGGACAGACCACCCAGCTTATGCCCAACACCCGGCACACTCCTGCCGCCATCCGCACCATCTCGCGACATCGCCCCGTCTATACCGCACACGCTCGCGCCCGCATCCGCATCCGCCAACTGTCGACTCCTCACACTGTAAGCACAACATCAGCCAAAGCAACCTCGGCCTACGAACGCACTCACCTTTGTAGTGCTTCAACACCCTCCAACATCCGGGAGCGTACCTGCAACACGCATAAAGGTTAGTAGACACAACAGCCGTAGGTGTCGCAAGCAGACACCAGCTGATCCATCGAGACATATAGCAATCCAAGGCGGCAGATTCACGTCCAGAAGATGATGCCCCCCCCGGCCCTCCTTTATCCCTCCTGCTACCCCGTTCCTGCATTGCAAACCCACGCACGGACGCTCCGCGTCATGGCACCCGGTCCCGCCGCGTACGTAACGCAGCCGCTCGCGTAGCATCTCGCAACACCCGGGCTACGCGCATCTCTGCCGGGGCGCTCGCATGGGCTTCGCGTGTCGCCGCAACACATTCCACCGCCGAAAAGGACATGCGTCCCTGCACGGAGAATCTACCAACGGCAGGGCGCACACGCACGCCTGTATGCGCGACGCGGGCAGTTGTCTGCCTGGAAACCCACCCGCAGGGCAGCACGCAGGCCGGTGCCGCTCCCGGGAGATCTTCGAGTCAATGCGCGGGGCGAGACTCGTGTGTCCGCCAACGGGATGTCGTGCCCGCGTGTCGTCAGCGCGCGATCTCCACCGCAAGTGTCAGCAAATGATCCCGCCCCCTGGTCCTGTCCCGAGCGAGGCGGCGGCATGACGCGGTCTGCTCGGCGGGACACGCACTCTGCATGTCGCGCCATCTGCGCTGTCTGCCTGCGGTGGGGCGAGTGTACAAGCCCGCCGCGCGCATCCCCGCCGGGGCGCTCGCCAGGACTTCTCGTGCGCCCCAACGGCGTCTTCCCTACCCGCGCACACCAGAGGTATATCCCAGCACAGAGAACCCGCCGACGGCAAAACGCGTGCGTTTCGCACGCGCGACGCGGACATTC